CTCCTAAGCCACACCCTAGCCCCTCACCGGGGTATTCTAGGCAGGGGCTCTACTACTGAACCACACTCCAGCCTCTCTGACTCCTTCACAACTCATTTTTCCCCAGATGCCACTACCTGTCTCCCCAGAGCAGTTCTATGAGGTATGTTAGCCTGATGTATCTAGTTAAAGACACTGTGGGGAAAATGTGACCAGAGGATTTTATGAAAATCGAGGCTGAGGGGTGATTTGGTGTAAACCTTTTTCACTGCATTGCGGTCCCAGGGATGGGGAGGTCTTGGCCCAAAGCTTCACAGGGATTCGTGTCTGGTTCAAGGACGCTAGCAGCTGTGTTCTCCTTCCAGCCCCGGGATAGGATTGCAGTGCGGTGTCACTGGCCAGGAAGTGGAGGAAGTTGGGAGGTGGTAACCTAGCAGGAGGGTCTGGGGGGAGAGAGAGAAGGAAACGGAGGGAGGGAGGGAAGGAAAAGAGGGAGAGAGAAAGAGACAGAGAGAGACTGCTATAGAGCAGCAGTGAGTTGTGGGTTCTATGCTGTTCTTCCACTTGGGGTTCTTCGAAGAACTGTGAGCAGGGCGTATCTTCCCCCCTCCCCTGACATAGGGTCTGTCTCCTAAGTAGCTCTTATTGTCCTGGAACTCCAACTCACAGAGATCGACCTGACCCACATGCTGAGGTCAAGGTCGTGTGCCACCACCAGGCTTCTCTAGGCCTTTGGGGAGTGTGGGTTGACTGTGGGTGTCACGTGACTCCTTCGTGTACTTGCAGAAGAAACCACCTTCTGCAGCTCCCTGAGGCCCCAGAAAGCCGCTGTCCCAAATCCCAAAGCAGCCATTAGTCTAGTACTGGTGAGTACTAGACAAAAACTCAGAGTGGAATTGTGAGGTAATGCTGTATGCTCTGGTGTCATGCTGTCTTCGAGCAGGTAGGAATCTGCAACTTTTGCCCTCTGCTGAAGGGTCTGGAGGACAAATGCTCCACAGAGTTTTTCTTCAAAGAACCTTCTCCATTCCAGGGATGGAGAAGATGGCTCAGTTGGTAAAGTGCTTGCCATGCAGACCCAGGTTCGAGCCCTAATCCCCACACAGGGCTGAGCAGTGCTGTAAGCCCAGTGCTGGAGAAGCCAAGTCAGGTGGACCCCGGCTTGCTGGCCACACAGCCTGGCCTGGTCACAAGCTCCAAGCCAGGGAGACACTGGCTCACAACCCAACCCAACCCAACCAACCAGCAGTAAACGCCAAGCAACACACTCACAGCGGACAGTCGTGAGGAGCGACCCCTGAGGTGGACTTTAGCTTCCACACATGCACAGACATGCACAGACACCTACATGGGTACACACATGCGTTCACACACACGCGCATGTGCACAGACCGCTCCCCTACACAGTCTTTTCAATTCCATTTAATTTCCTTTTTTATCTAGTTCAATTTCAAACCTTTGTGTTCACCCCATTTACTTTGTCCTGTTTCCATTGAATTTCTTTTTCTTCTCCCTCTCTCCTTCTCACTCCTCTTCTTTCTAGGTCTCTCTGTGTAGTTCATGCTAGCCTTAAGCTCACAATCCTCCTGCCTCAGCCTACCCAGTGCTAGGTAGCCCATGTGTGCCACCACACCTAGCTTCCAGCTTCTGTTTGTCCATTTCATTTTATCCCAGATACTTATTTTCCACCCCACTCTGTGTGTGTGTGTTGTGAGCATGCTGCTGCTCACTCGCTCCCTGCCACATCTTTTCCCCTTCCGAGTCTTTCTCTTCTCACTCACTCCACTTTTCCACTTCTTTGATCTTGCTTCATTGCTACAGGGTCTCACTTGGCAGCCCAGGATATCTTGCTACTCTCTAGATATGTGAGGCTGTCCTAGAACTTACAGCAGCCCCTGCCTTGACCTTCACAGCACTAGGGTTGTAGATGCAAGTTGCCATGCCCAAGCAAGCTTCAGTAGGTCTGTGTTAGGTTTCCCAGGGAAGAATTGGGCTCACGCCATCGTGCTGTGTTCAGTTTGGCGAGTTCTCCAGTCAGCCATGGACTTTCACAAATTGAACCCCCCCCCTTTTAATTTTTAGGACAGGGCTTCTCTGTGTAGCCCTGGTTGTCCTGGAGCTCACTTTGTAAACCAGGCTGGCCCGAACTCAGAGATCCACTGTTTACTGGCTTCCTTATCATGGCTTGCTCAGCCTGTTTGCTTATACCACCCCGGCCTACCAGCCCAAGGCTGGTACCTACAGTGATCTGGGCACTCCCACAACAATCACAAAGCAAGAAAATGTACTACAGGCTTTCCCACAGGCCAATCTGATGGAGGCAGTGTCTTAGTTAGGGCTTATTGCTGTGAAGAGACCCCATGACCAAGGCAACTCTTACAAGGGAAAACATTAAATTGGAGGTGATTTAGAATTTCGGAGGTTTAGTCCACTATCATCATGGTGGGAAGCATGGCAGCATCCAAGCAGGCATGGTGGTAGAGATGGAACCAAGAGTTCTACATCTTGAACTGAAGACAGCTAAGATGGAGGCAAGTCATATGACTGATATTTTAAAACATCTGTTTTTCTAGTAGATCTATTTTTTAAACAAGAGTTGACTCCAAGTTACATATACAGTCTATCCTAAACAAGAGTTGAATCACATAAATAGTATGTTATACCAAATTTAGATTATCCATGTACAGATTTTAACCATATAAGCCTTTTGTTATAAGTTTTTCATAGCAATAAAACAGCAGAATGAGCTAGTGGCAAGATGCAGTTTTATTATATAAGTTCAGGTTTATTGGAAATGGCGGGGGAGAGGGAGAGAGAAGGGAGAAGCCTTTGAAGAGAGAGAGAGGAGAAACACAAAAGAGAGAGAGAAGAGAGAAAGAGGAGAGAGAAAGAGAAGGGAGAGAAACGGGCAGAGGAAACAAAATGTCTGGATTATGTAGTGAAGGGCCCTTGGGAGAGGGGAAGCCCGCCCTGGGCTAGGGGATTTGGGATAGAAGGCAGGATTTGCCAGCCACACCCTGCAGCAGGTAGGAATCTAACAGTTTAAGCTAAATGTTGTTATGGATTTTTAACTATACCCAATGGACTTACAAATTCTGAGATAGTTTACAGCATAGTCTTAAGGGATTTTTTTTTTTTTTTGAGAGCAGAGAAATCATAGAGATAAAAGTGTTTTGTTTTGTTTGAGTAGCAAGTGGAGAAACCAGTACTTTTGGAAGTATAGAGCAGAGCAAATTTAGGTATAAAAGATTTGGGGAACATTTGTTTGTTCCGCGGCAGAAGCTGTCACCATATAAAAGAATTTAAAAATCTAGGGTGTCCTGCCAGGTGGTGGTGGTGCTTGTCTTTAATCCCAGCACTTAGGAGGCAGAGGCAGGTGAATCTCTGTGAGTTTATCATCAGTCTGCTCTACCGAGTGAGTTCCAGGACAGCCAGAGCTACACAGAGAGACCCTGTCCAGACCAAAAGAAAATAAATCTATTGTATTAATCTTTGGCCATTGATAGAGCTGTACTGTGGCCAAACCCATTTGTAATAGGACAGCAAGGCTTTAAGCAAGATTTTTCTTTGAGTCAGGAAGGAAAAGAGAAAGGATTGCAAAATTAACTCCGCTCTTAGGTATGTTTGAACTACGATGAAGAAACTAGCCAGAGGCAGCTGGAGGGGTCCAGGTTGAACCAAGATATGAGTAGAGAGCAAGGATGACAGAGTGAGAGGACGAGAAGAGAGAGGCAGTGTCTTGATCAAGAAGGTAAATACACATAGTATAGCAAAAGTTATATTTTACTATGCTGAGGGTCATCACACAAGCTTCACACTCTAAATTCCTAACTATAGTCCAAAGCCTATCTCCCCTAGCTTACTCATGTATCTTAGCTGATGGTCAGGTCCTGTCTCTAACGAAGTCTCTGATTCGACGGTGTGGATCCTGGGGGAGACTCTCCAGCCACAGGCAGACCCAGGCGGTGTCTCTCCAGATGTGCAGAGCAGAGAGCACTGCTCTTGGTCTTCATTTATGCGCTGTCCAATGGGCGTCATGGAGTTCTAGGACTGTGTCTGGTTATCTTGAGTGAGAGACGTCGCTGAGTTCTGGTGCAGCCTTAGGTATAGTGGTTAGGGATCCTAACTAAGCTATTTTACATATCTAAAAGGTGTTGTTTATTATGCTCATTACAGGGAGCAAAGACTGAAGTCAGGATGAAGAGAGCAGTAGAGTGTGTGGGAAACAAGAAACCTCTTAACCAAAATGGATGAATTTATGTAGAAAAGAGAAGCGGGGGGAAGGGAAGGAAGCCCAGCCCCTGGGATGGAGAGGTTTCCGGTAGGTGGGGTGCTGGCCAACATGCACTTGGATGTATTAATAGGACCCTCAGTGAGCCATTTGTCCCGGGTTTCTTTGACACCTTACACTGACAACTATTAAATAATAATAATAATAATAAAAATCAGATTTTAAAAAGATTACATTTACAAAATGGGTGTGGTAGCTCATGCCTCTAACTCCAACATTTGCGAAGCAAAGGCAGATGGTTCTCTGTGAGTTCCAGGCCAGCCAGAGCTATACAGTGAGGGAAGAAAAAAAATCGTATTTATTTATTTATTTGGTTCCGGGAATCCAACTTGTGTCATCTCGCTTGGCAGCAAAGCGCCTTCATCTGCTGAGCCATTCCGCAGGCTCGGTAAAAGCTCTTTGAATTATAAAATGGGGACATCAGGTCTCCTAGAATTGGCAGCCTCCAAGGCAGCTTCACCCTCGCCTTAGCGGAGGACTTTCCCATTGGCCACACCCTACGCAGGTCCCTGCCCCGCCCTGGATTGCCTGTTGGCTTCTCAAACATTGGGACGGACTGCGCAGCCGTACTCCAGTCCCTCGCGTTCGAGAACCCGCCCCTTGGCGCTGAGATTTCTGGGAATTGTAGTTCCATCGAGTGGGTACCACCCACTTCCGGGTTTAGCCGGCAGAGCAGCCATTTGTATGTGTTTGTGTGTGTGTGCACGTATGTTTGTGTGTGTATGTGTGCGCGGCCGTCTGCTCTGGCCCGGCTTCCTGACCGGGCTCAGTCTACACGGAGCGACCTGGCGGATGCTGACTCGAGTGGACTCGAATCATGTCGGATGTGCTTCAGGGTCGGGGCCGGAGGCGGTGAGCCCAATTTCGTGTTGACGCTGAGTCGTGCGCGGCTCAGGCCCGACCCGGCCCACGCCGCGGGCTCGCGGACGCCCAGGTGAGTGAGAGCCGCGGGACACGCACAGTCCTCGGTGTGCGCATGCGCAGGATCTGGGCGGGAAACTGGACGCGGCGCTGTCGGTGAGTCGCGGTTCCTGTGCCTCGGTCCTGGCGTCCTGGGTCGCGGAGGTCTGTGAAGGCTGAGTAGCTGGGAGTGTGCAGTGCGCGCATGCGCCGATTGGGTGCTTGGCGGGACTTGTTTGGGACCGAGGATGTCCAGGAAGATGGAAGACAGGACACAGGCATAGTGATGGGGGAGATAATTGAAAAGCTCAAGGGGTGCACTAAGGCACTTCACGTTTTGGACAAAAGATTTTTAGAAGAGGTGTTATCGCCCTGGAAAGTCAGCATGGCGGGGCCTCTGAGGTGAGCAGAGTTCAGGTCATGCGATACAGTCGGGGCCTCTTACTGGTTTGGAGGAAGAAGGGAGCTTCGAAACCAGTTGATGAGTTGTCTCTGCTTGTCATCAGGTTGCTTCTTTATTCCTGTCATGGGGAGCACAGAGTCTCTCCTGTTTCCTGGCCATGAAGTGTGACCCTGATATGGGGAGAGTGGGCCTGTTTAGTCTACTGAATCCATTATAGGGTGTGTCACCTGTAGCTCCTAAATAAGAGTCTGGTGGCCTTAGGGCTATCTGCAGAATCAGCTCAGAGGGTAGGGAGAAACGACGGGGCATAGGGGATGTGACCTGAGCAGTTTCGGGTCTGCAATCTAAAGCACTGAGAGGCCCTCTTCTCCCATTCCTATTTCGTGGAGAGCCTTCCAGTGCCCAGATTCTTCTTCCCAGAGAGGAGCTGTGTCACTGTCTCTGTACTCTTGATCAAGTGTTTGTGTTGGAAACACCAGCCAGCATTCCGGAAAGGCAGTTCTACCCCGGGCAGACACTTTTCTTGCAAAGCTGGGAGTGTCCTGTTTGTTGGAGATACATGTGGCTTCTGTTCCTAGATCAGACATGATGACGACCAACCAAAGAAACGGTCACACCCCGGTTTAGCTGGTAGGTTTATTTTTGTTCCTTACAGAAGTATGGTTGAAGGAGCACCCACACATAGGAGCATGGATGACTCAGCTACGTCACTGAAAAGCCCATGGGGAATGATGACTCAGGAAAGCTGCATCTCTGGAGATGCCTGCAGACTGGAAGGCAGCTAATCTGGGCAGGGTACCCCCTCCCCAGCCGGTGCTTGTATAAGCTTGTGGAAGGGTGTGTGTGTGTGTGTGTGTGTGTGTGTGTGTGTGTGTGTGTGCATGCATGCATGCATCTTAAAGTCTCAGCTTATGAGATTTTTGTCTTTTGTTTAGTTCTGAGTCTTAAAAGCCCCCTTCTCCCTGTAGATGGGAGCATTTTGGTTTGGAGAAAGTGGGTACACACAGAGCAGGCTGGCACTCCCAGTTTTTGCCTCAGGAGAGGCAGCTTTGCTTCAGATTATAATCCTTTAGACAGTCCTTTACCAGATCGAGGGTGCCAGGGTCTAGCAGAAAATTCTCAGCAGAAGGCCCCTTTGCGTGCCAGGGTTAGAGGATCTTGACCTGAATCCCAGCACCCATGTAGACTAATGTAGGGTTCTGAAGTGTTCAAGTTCAGTTCACAGCTAGGAGGTAAGGAATCTACACCTCAAAGGACTCCCCAGCTCTTTGCAGGAGGTAGATGCTACAAGCATCTTTAAAGAGTTGGTACCTTTGTTTTGGGCTATTCTGCCTTGAAACAAGAGACTGCCTAGGTTTTCAAGATGGTGGTAAAGAAGACAGGGAAGCAGCTCCAGCCCAGGCGTGAGAACCCTTAGTCAAGTGCTGCGGTCCCAGGGCTGGTTCTGGGCCTATATGCTCAGATTTAGGTAATATATTTTAACTGCAGCTCTGCATGGGAGACCTTGGGACCTTTGTGGCAGCTGTGACTTAAGGCACCAGGGGATACCGATTCCTGTAAGAACTCCAACTGGAGCTGGGGGTGTAATTCAGTTGGTTAAGTGCATGGATGAAGCCCACGGTTTCACCTCTCGCACTTCATAAACCAGGTCTGTAAACACAGCACTTGGGAGGTAAAGGCAGGAGAAAGGTGAGTGTGAGGCCAGCCTAGACTACATGAGACCTTGACTCAAAAACTAAGGATCCACAACCAAGACAAAAAACAAGCCCCAGACTGGCAGAGTGCCCAGGTCCAGCAGATCCTGGAGTGGGAACCTGCTGGGGTGAAAGCCATGTGCCACAGGGCCCAGCTAGAAATGTACTTTAGACATAGTGCTGGGTCTATGTGGATTTTGCTGTATTCACAACCATTTGATGCTCAAGTGTGGAGTAAGACAGGGTCTCCCTGGGATTCAGGGACCCAGGAAGGTATTACAGCAGGAATTTGCCAGGTTGAGACTCAAGCTGGGGCCTGCTGGTGTGGGTGGAGGGAAGGAGGTAGGGCTATTTATTAGTGCTGGGGTGAGAAAGCTGGGGGCTGGGGTGTGGCTCAGTTGGGTAGATGCTTGTGAGCATGCCCAGACCCTGGGTTCCGTCCTCAGCACCACATAAGCCAGCAAGGGGTTATGGTGGGCTTGAGTGCCTAGGGTGGGCTTGGTCAGCTGCTACCCTCCTTTCCAAGATGGTGATATCTAGTTGGCACAAAGACCTCTGAGTTGCAGGAGTACAGGTTCTGGGCTTGGCAGAGGCCAGTATGCACTGTGCCTGCCAGAGGTCCCCAGTCTTGGGTAGACTATTGCAGCTTTTGGTCCGAAAGCCCTCCAGACAGATGGAGGAATCGGTTTGAGCTACAAATTCAGACCCTGAGGGTTTGGGTAAGAATCTCATCCAGATCCTGGTTGGATGGTGGAGGAGTCTGTCCTGTCCCTAGCTGTTTGGATAGGAAGCCTGAGCTCTGGGATGTTTGCTGATGAAAGGCAGTGTTCTTTGTAAGATCAGTTCCCAGGAAGGCTGGGGCTGTGTCCTGAGCTTCATCTATTTGGTCAGTGTTTTCTGGCCATGGGAAGAGGTGCTGGCTTGCGGCATGCTCAAGCCAGTAAAGTATGTAATATTAAGGGGTTCTTTGTGTGCTGGGTGTTTGTGAGGCTCCCAGGACCCAGTGAAGGTCAGATTGGAGCTGCACGTTTTGGTACTGGGCAGAAGGTGATGTTTGAACATGAGGTGGAGGAAGAGCACAGGGATTCTTGGATAATTCTTGGGGCATTAACTTCCAGAAGCTAATGGGGGACAGGCAGGATGGGCTGGAGGGTGGCAGTGCTCTGAGCGTCTTTTGTTTGTGTAGCTCGGCACCACCCACTGGAGGAGACCATGGAGCAGCAAGATGAGCAGTCCCTGGAGTCCCTGCAGGCCTGTGTGGAGGTGAGTCCAGCCAGTCCTCCTGTAGTAGCCTCAGCTCTTCCCTGCGTGGCCCCACAGCCTGAGCCTTGGAATCCCCTCTGCAGTATTTTAAGGGATTTGATCCCTAACGGGTGGTAGCTTTTAAGAAGAGTAACCAGCACGTGTTTGTGCATGTATACCCGTGTGACTGCCAGTGCATGTGCCTGGGCAGAGGCCAGAAGAAGGTACCAGGTGGTACTCTTTGTTGCTCTTCACATATTCTTTTGAGAGATGGCCTTTCTCTGAACCTAGGGATGTTGTAGAACAGCTTCTCCCAGATTGAAGTGTTCCCTCTGGGGAGTGGGGATCAGTAAATAAAATGTCACAGATCTAATAAACTGGAAACTTGCAGCCAGGCGAACTTGTTTCCTGCCCGTCACCTGTCACCCATGCTCCTGATGCTAACCCTGCCTGTCACTATTTTAAGGCAGGGTCTTATGTGTTGAGGCCTAGCCCGGAGCTCACTATATAGCTGAGGATGACCTTCCTTCAACTACTTGGCTCCTGCCTCCACTTCCTAAGTGCTGTGATTAATGTGAACCACCATGTCTAGCTCAGAAAGGATGGGTTTTTGTGCTTCCTGATACTCAGGAGAATACAAAGGCCCAATATTTCATTTGAAATCAAATATGTTACCGAATTTAAATACCTTAGTTAAAATTAGACAAAAGTCATATTAAATCCTTTAGGTAACTCATTTTGAGATGCTTTTAAACAGTGTCTAAGACCTCATTGTGTGAGTTATTCTCAAATGACAATCTTTTGCTTATTAACATGTTACCATGATAAGCAGAACTGCGCATGTGTGTGAATCCTGGGTTGACTCTTCCTCAGTTGTTCTCCATCTTATTTTTTTTGAGGCAGGGTCTATATTCTGGTTGATCACTAAAATCTCTAGAGTCTCCACCAATTCATTTAGGAGAAATTAGTCTCTTAATTCTTAAGCGACTTACAATTAAAACAATTTAATAACAATTTTAAATGCCTTCTAGATATTGTGGCAAGAAAAAAACTTCCTACAGATAAAGGTCTAAAAATCTTAAATATGGAAGGTTCTTAGTGATGACTCTTCACCTAGATTCATGGCTGAAGAACTTTTTTCTAACATTTTGACTGTCTCAACTTTTTTTCTTTTTTCCACACCTACGTCACCTTCAAGTTCTTTGCCCTCTCCTTTGTCTCATGTTTTTGGTTTCTCAGAACTTTGTTCTACCCCAAGAGATGATCATCGAAGTGGAAGGAGAAGATGCTGGGTCACTGGACATCGTGCCCCAAGTAAGTTGGGCAAGCCCATTCTTCACCCAAGAAATGTGCATGGTTGTGTCTGGTACAAGCAAACCGAAGGGAACTATGGTGGAATTAGAGAGAGGGGGTGGAAATAAGAGTGGTGGGCTGGGGCAAAGTGGGTAAAGTCTGTTGTACATTCACAAGGGCTTAACTGGGAGGCCCTATTTCTGAAAAACTGATCATTGCATGCTTGTCATCCTAGCCCTTGGGGATGGAGACAAGAAGGGCCCTGAGTCTTGCTAGTCAGCCAGAATAGCAAAATTGGTGAACTTCAGTTCCAGTGAGAGACCCTGCCTCAAAAAAAAAAATAAGATGGAAAACAATTGAGGAAGTGTCAACCCAGGATTCACACACATGCACAGCCCTCCACACACAAGAGTGAGCAGCTTTTCTCAGAAACATGGTTATATGAAAGGTGCAAAGTGGAGAGCCGCAAGAACACTGCAGGTTGAGGAGTTGAGGTTTTAGAGAGATTTGAGGCCTGGCCTAGTAGAGCTCTTGGTGGTGTTTGTGAGTGTGCACGGGGCTTGGGGTTCAATCCTCAGTACCACAGATGGGAAAAGGCTCAGCTCGTCTTACAAGTGCCTGTAAGAAGGAGATAGTGGGGAGAAGGAGGAGATAAACTGCAGAGCAGTCTTCCTACCAGGGGCCCTGGTGAATCTCTGAGTCTCTGACTCTACACAGAGAAGGGTCAGTACAGAATGAAGTCAAGGGCACTCTGGGAACTCTTACAACCATTCTCTGCAAATGGTCAGTGAGAGAGGCTGGGACCTGCAGTATAAAGATACTTGACAAGAGTGGAGAAGGCTAGGGACTGGGAGGATGGTTTTGTAGGTACAAGCACTTGCTATGCATACTCAAGACCCAAATTCCAGTCACCAGCACCAGTGTAAAGGTTGCAGGGCAGAGACAGGTAGATCCCAAAAACTTGCTGGCCCACCACCCCAGCCAAAACTGAGCTTCAGGTCCTACAAATGACTGTGTTGGGAATAAGGCAGAGTATAATCAAGGCAGATATTTAAATTAAACATACCAACTCTAATTCACTAATCTGTTTCAACGATTGGACCAGTGGTATCAATGCAGGAATCAGACAGATCACACAGTGCTCTTGGGGAAAAAGCTGCAGAAGTGGCTTACCAGCAGGAGGAAGCCTGAGGAAGATGGAGGGTGTCTTCCTTAGTTATGCTTTGCCTCATTTCCTTGACAGGTAGGGTCTCTCACTCAGTTCCGCCCAAAGCCCACTGATTGGCTGGTCTAGCTTGGAAGGAGGCTGAGTAGATGCTATTGGCTGGTCTAGCTTGGAAGGAGGCTGAGTAGATGCTGTCTCTGCCTCCATGCTCCTAGGGTTCCACGTGGCTGTCACATCTGCACTACTTGGCATAGGTTCTCGGGATCTAAAGTTTGGTCCTAATATTTGTGCAGCAAGTATTTTATCTGCTGAGCCATGTCTCCAGCCACCAAGACAATTAATGTTTAAGAGACAAATTGTTGTGCCACCTTCTCCGGTCTCCAGCTTGTAAAAATCCTCCTGTCTCTGCCTTCCAAGAGCTGGGACTGCCGATGTGTTTTATCTTGCCAGGCTTAATCTAATAATATTTATTTGATTTCCTCTGAGTTTTCTTCTTGGTTGTTGTTTTTATTTATTTATTTATTTTTGACATTTGTTAAGGTAGGTATATGTATGTGTGCAAATGCACCACAGACTAATTTATAAGAGTTGGTTTTCAAATTTCACCGTGTGGAATTCTGGGAACAAATTCAGGGTGTCAAGCTTAGCAGCAAGTATTTTATTTATTTATTTATTTATTTATTTTTTAAATAAACTTAGTGCTTACTGAGTGCTGGAATTAAAGGCATTAGTCACCGTGTCCAGCTGGCAGCAAACATTTATCTGCTAAGCCAAGAACGTGTGTCAGACAAGAGGGTGAGAAGTTATTACAAGGAGGCAGGAGTTAGAGCTTTAAAGACCCTTCAAGATCATTGTTCAGCCCAGCTGGCAGTTAATAGCTTGCATTATGAATTCTGTTTTGGTCTAACCCTTAAAAAGCCTTTGAGATCCTAGTGAAATTGATGGGCCTAAGAACAGTGCACATGTGGCAGCTTGTGCATGCAGTTCCGTAATTCAGCTCACGTGTCCTACTCATGAGCCATAGCTTCCAAACGCCTCGTCCAAATGTCTGCTCAGTGTACAGAGCTTTTGGTGGTAAAGCTATTCCATGGCTTGGTATTTACAGTTTTTGGCGACAAGAGAGTTATCATCAGAAATTGTTTATGTATCAAAATCCACTAGGCTTTTAGAGCCTCTTCCCTGCTGAAAGTAGTCAATCCATGATTCATTGGTTACATCCTTATTTATTGTTTGTTATAACTAGTGGTGCCAGGGAGTACATAGAGGATGCTTGTGTGCAAGATGAGTGCTCTACCACTGAGCCACACCCCAGCCCCTCACTGGGGGGTTCTAGG